CCCGGCTGGAACGAGGGGAAGAGCCCTGGGTGCCCGACCTCCAGGCCGCGAAGGGAAGAGAGATCCTGAGAGGCACCCGCACAGGTGAGGACTGACACAGACACCCACTGGGGAATGAAGGGAAAAGTTAGAGTCCCAAAAATGAGGTATCAGTAATTGCCCTCAGTACTTCTTCCTCTCACGTGGGGTGAGGTGTGGTCAGCAGATATTGTTCACAGTTTTCCACCAGTCCTGTTACCTGCAGGAGCTTCCTTTTCTCTGAGTGTTTGTGTGGGAAGTGAAGACGAGAATGCAATTTCAGTGTGCTGGGTTTTTCCTTGGTGCTGTTGCTGTTCCCAGTTCAGTGACTCCTGCCTGGATTGTCTCTCTCCCAATAGGTGATGGGACAGCCAGTGAGAATGAAGAGGCGAATCAACAGCAGGAGGTTCCTGCGAAAATGGAAACTCAGGTGACCTTTGTGGGAAGAGCTGAAGAGAATGTTTCCCAGTGCCTGGAACAGGAAAAAGCCTGGGGAAACTGGCCCAGACCGGAGAGGCTGCTGGGAAACCATCCAAGTGAGCAAATGGATAAATCTGTAAAATGTGGGGAAGGACACAAGGATCCCACAGCCCAGCAGACAAACCTCAAGGAAGAGAAACACCAGGAATGGCTCGGTTCTGGGAAGGGATTTCTTGTGAGCCCAGAGCGTATTACAGTGCAGACAGTAGGTGCTGGAGAGAAACCCCTTCAATGCTTGGACCATGGGGCAAGCGTAAATAACAGCTCAGAGCTTAATACTGACAGGGGAAGCCAAATGGGAGAGAGAGGCTCTCAGTGCCATCAGAGAGGGAACTCTCTGCATTGGAATTCAGCCCTGAGGACACACGAGACGAGCTGCTCAGGAGAAAGACCCCATAAGCGTGTAGAGTGTGGGAAATGTTTCAAAGGGAGGTCAGCTCTGATTAAACATCAAGCCGTCCACCCAGGTGACAGTCCCCATAAGACTTCAGATTGTGGAAAGAGTTTCCTGCAGAGCTCGATACACCTTAAACCTCAAGCAATGCACCCTGGAGAAAGACCCTATCAATGCTTAAACTGTGAGAAAAGTTTCAAATGGAAGTCAGGCCTCGTTTCACATCAGAAAATCCACACGGGAGAGAGACCCCATCAGTGCTTAGACTGTGGGAAAAGTTTCAAATGGAAGTCAGATCTTGTTTCACATCAGAAAGTCCACACAGGAGAGAGACCCCACCAGTGCTTAATCTGTGGAAAAAGTTTAAAATCGAGCTCATCTCTTGGATTACATCTGAAAATCCATACAGGGGACAGACCTCATAAGTGCTTAGACTGTGAGAAAAGTTTCATACAGAGGTCCGACCTCATTAAACATCAGGCCATCCACACAGGAGAGAAATCCCATAAATGCTTGGAGTGTGGGAAAGGTTTCACAGAGAGGTCATCTCTTCTCACTCATCAGGCAGTCCACACTGGAGACAAACCCTATCAGTGCTTCGAGTGTGGAAAAGGTTTCATATGGAAGACATCTCTTGTTTCACATCAGGTAATCCACACAGGAGAGAAACGCCATAAGTGCTTAGACTGTGGGAAGAGGTTCACATTGAGGTGTGAACTTGTTGAGGAGAGAAACGCCATAAGTGCTTAGACTGTGGGAAGAGGTTCACATTGAGGTGTGAACTTGTTGAACATCAGGCAGTCCACACAGGAGAGAGACCTCATAAGTGCTTGGAGTGTGGAAGAGGTTTCATACGGAAGATTGATCTTGTTAAACATCAGACAAGTCATACAGGAGAGAGACCCCATAAGTGCTCAGAGTGTGGAAAAGCTTTCAGATGGAGATTTGCCCTTGTGAACCATCAGGCAGTTCATACAGGAGAGAGACCCCATAAGTGCTTGGAGTGTGGAAAAAGTTTCATACAGAGGACTGACCTTGTTAAACATCAGGCAAGTCATACAGGAGAGAGACCCCATCGATGCTTAGACTGTGGAAAAACATTCATACAGAGGTCTCACCTCAATCAGCATGTGGCAGTCCACACAGGGCAAAGACCCCACAAGTGCTTAGACTGTGGGAAAAGTTTCGTTAGGAAGTCAGACCTTGTTGTACATCAGAAAATCCATACTGGGGAGAGACCCCATCATTGCTTAGAGTGTGGGAAAAGTTTCATACGACGGTCAGATCTCCTTAACCATCAGTTAATACACACACGAGACAGAAACGATGAGTGTTAAGCCATGGAAAATCTTTCACATAGAGGTCTGATGTTCTTAAACAACAGGCAATGCACACAGGAGTGACACCTCAAAAGTGCTTTTACAGTGGAAAAAAATGTCATATGGATGTTAGCCTTGGTTTCATATCAGAAAATCTACACAGGAGAAAGATCCCATAAGAGCGCCAACTGGGTAAGTTTCATGTAGCTTCTTGGTCATCAGGCCATCCACACAGAGGAGTCCTCATCCGTGCTTAATTTGTGCACCAAGTTTCATTTTGAAGTCAGCGTTTTGTAAACATCAAGCACTCCACAGAGAAGGGCGACCCCATTGGTTTTTGGAATGTGGGATGTGTTTCACAGGAAGATGAAATTTTATAACTCAGATGATCCACAGAGGAGAGAGACCCCATGAGTGATCAGAGTGTGACGGAAGTTTGATATGGAGGTCAAGTTATCCTAAGCATCAGGAATCCATCCAGAAGGGAAATCCCATCTGTGGTTGGACTGTGGGAAAAGTGAGGCTATTATAAGGTGGGTACATAACTGGCAGGATAACCATTCTCAGACTATAGTTATTAACGATTCACGGTCATACTGGAAGGGCATAACAAGTGGGGTTCCACAGGGGTCTGTTTTGGCACCAGTTCTGCTCAATATTTTCATCAACAATTTAGATGATGGCATAGAGAGGACACTTACTAAGTTTGCAGATGATACCAAGCTGGGAGGGGTGGCAAGTGCTTTAGAAGAGAGAATCATAATTCAAAATGATCTGGACAAACTAGAGAAATGGTCTGAGGTAAATAGGATGAAGTTTAACAAGGATAAATGCAAAATGTTCCACTTAGGAAGGAACAATCCATTTCACACATACAGAATGGGAAGGGACTGCCTAGGAAGGAGTACTGCAGAAAGGCATCTAGGAGTCCGAGTGGACCACAAGCTAAATATAAATCAACAGTGTGACACTGTTGCAAAACAGCTAATGTGATTCTGGGATGTAATAACAGGAGTTCTGGGCCCCCCACTACAAAAAGGATGCGGACACATTGGAGAGGGTCCAGCGGAGGGCAACCAAAATGATTAGGGGTCTGGAGCATATGACCTACGAGGAGAGGCTGAGGGACTTGGGTCTGTTTAGTCTGCAGAAGCGAAGAGTGAGGGGGGACTTGATAGCAGCCTTCAACTTCCTGAAGGGAGGTTCCAAAGAGGATGGAGAGAGGCTGTTCTCAGTAGTGACAGATGGCAGAACAAGGAGCAATGGTCTCAAGTTGTGGTGGGAGAGGTCCAGGTTGGTGTGGTGGGAGAGGTCCAGATTGGATATTAGGAAAAACTATTTTACTAGGAGGGTAGTGAAGCATTGGAATGGGTTACCTAGGGAAGTAGTGGAGTCTCCATCCCTAGAGGTGTTTAAGTCTCGGCTTGACAAAGCCCTGGCCGGGGTGATTTAGATGGGGTTGGTCCTGCCTAGAGCGGAGGGCTGGACTTGACGACCTTCTGAGGTCTCTTCCAGTTCTATGATTCTATGATAAGGGGATGGTTGGATGAAATAACATGATCTTGGTAACTAATTGACCATTCATTATAGGGAACTTTCTGGGTGTCTGGCTGGTGAGTCTTGCCCACATGCTCAGGGTTTAGCTGATCGCCATATTTGGGGTCAGGAAGGAATTTTCCTCCAGGGTAGATTGGCAGAGGCCCTGGAGGTTTTTCGCCTTCCTCTGTAGCATGGTGCGCAGATCACAGCTGAAGGACTCTCTGCATGTTGGGGCCTTCAAAGTATTTGAAGGCTTCAATATCTGAGACATAGGTGAGAGGATTATTCTAAGAGGGGTGGGCGAGAGTCTGTGGCCTGCACTGTGCAGGGGGTCAAGGGGGTCAGACTAGATGGTCCCTTCTGACCTTAAAGTCTATGAGTCTATGAGTCTATGAGTGTGGTAAGCAAGACACGAGAAATCATTCTTCCGCTCTACTGTGCGCTGATTAGGCCTCAGTTGGAGTATTGTGTCCAGTTCTGGGCACCACATTTCAAGAAAGATTTGGATAAGGTCCAAAGAAGAGCAACAAAAATGATGGAAGGTCTAGAAAACATGACCTGGGGGGAAGGTTGAAATACTTGGGTTTTTTTAGTTTGGGAAAGAGAAGACTGAGCATGGATGTGAACACAGTTTTCAAGTACAGGCAGTCCCCGGGTTACGTACAAGATAGGGACTGTAGGTTTGTTCTTAAGTTGAATTTGTATGTAAGTCGGAACTGGTACATATTGTAGGGGATACTCTAGCCAAACATTTCTCCAGAGCTCAGTTTTATTCTCCCACACCTCACTTCCCTCAGTCCTTTATTCTCAAGCTGAGGTGTCTTCTGAGAAAAGCTGCTCCGCGTCTCCTTGGTTTGCTGCGGGGGGGCGCTAGCTTCGCATCTCCCTGGTCTGCTGGGGGGAAGCAGCTAGTGAGGGGTTGCCTCACCCTGTTTGTAAGTAGGGATCCGATGTAAGTCGGATCCATGTAACCCGGGGACTGCCTGTATCTAAAAGGGTGTTACAAGGAGGAGGCAGAAAAAGTGTTCTTCTTGACCTCTGAGGATGGGACAAGAAGCAATGGGCTTAAATTGCACCAAGGAAGGTTTAGGTTGGACATTAGGAAAAACTTCCTACCTGCCAGGGTGGTGAAAAACTGGAATAAATTACCTGGGAAGGTTGTGGCATTTCCATCACTGGAGATATTTGAGAGCAGGTTAGATAAACATCTCTCAGGGATGAACTAGATCCGTGTTTCTCAACCAGTGGGACGAGTACCATTGGGGTACTCAAGAGAAGTCTAGGGGGTACGTCAACACAAGTGAAATTTGGAGAAAACTGAATTTTTGTTTTAAGTTTTACAGCGCTTTATTATTTTTATACTTTTTACACCCACAAATTTCATTGCCTGCCCAGCTACGATTAAGTTGTTTAAACAAATGTGTTGCAGTGGTAGAAAAAAAGTTGTGTGTCTGAAAACAGTAGGTATTGGGAGTACTTACACCTTTTTTTTTTTAAAGGGGTACTTTATTAAAAAAAAAAAAAAAAAGGTTGAGAAACACTGATCTAGATGGTGCATGGTCCTGCCATTGAGGGCAGAAGATGCCAGTTCTAGTATTGTATGATTCTATCTGAGAGTCCAGACAAGTGTGAGAGCCCCTTCTCATCCCCCCGGCATTGAAGCCTGCACCCCCAGGACCCTGCCCTGTGCCCCCCCTCCAGAACCTGAACAATGCCAGTTAAATAGACTAGTAAAAGAGAAATATAAAGCGATCATTGTACTTTGAATTCTGCGTTGGAGTTGAAATCAGTATTTTTGAAAATGCATAGAACATCCCAAAATATTTAAATAAATGGTATTCGATTATTGTTTAACAGCCTCATACATGACCGTTCATTTTTTAATCACCTGCCAGCCCCAGAAGGTAGCAATTGTTTTAGTCGCTCTTTACCTATATCTTATTGCTGCCTAGAATTTTGTTAATTCACAGGTCAAAAGGAAATATTAACAGGAGACTGGGAGCCAACCTGATTTCCTCCCTTGGGGCTGGATTGTCTCATTCCCAGATATTTTCACACTGCTCTGGGCGGGCCCTGCTGAAAAGCCTTTAGGGTGTGAACATTTTCTCCCTTATGGAGCCAGAATTACACAGATACTAAAATGGGCAGAGCAGGGGCAGCAAAATGTGGTGTTTTAATGGCAATAGGGTGAGACTAAGGCCTGTGTCCCAGTAGTGCAGTGTTTTATCATGTCATCTTAGAAAAGAGGAGACAAAGATGGGGTATGATAGAGGGCTATAAAATCATGACTAGTGTGGAAAAAGTGACTAAGGAAAAGTTATTTACTTGTTCCCATAATATAAGAACTGGGGGGTCACCAAATGAAATGAATAAGCAGCATGTTTAAAACAAACAAAAGGAAGTGTTTTTTCATGCAGTGCACTATCAACCTGTGGAACTCCTTGCCAGAGGATGTGGTGAAGACTAAGGGTGCGTCTAGACTACATTCCTCTTTCAAAAGAGGAATGCAAATGAGGGAAATCGAAAATGCAGATGAAATGCAGATATACAAACCTCGCACTTCATTTGTATAATCGTGTCTGATTGCTTTTTTGAAAAAAGGTGTTACTGAAAAAAAAAAAGCAGTCTAGATGTGGTTCTTTCGGGGGGAAAAAACCCTTTTTCCAAAGAACTCTTATTCCTGAAAAATGAGGTTACAGGGTTCTTTTAAAAAAGGGTTTTTTCCACCCCCTGAAAGAACCGTGTCTAGACTGCTTTTTTTTTTCAAAAAAAAACTTTTTCGAAAAAGCGATCAGACGCAGTTATGTAAATAAAACGTGAGATTTTTAAATCTGTACTTCATTTGCATTTTTTATTTCCCTCATTTGCATTCCTCTTTCAAAAGAGAAATGTAGTCTAGACACTCCCTAGAACTTTAACAGGGTTCAAAAAAGAGCTTGATAGATTCATGGAGGTTAGGTCCATCAATGACTATTAGCCAGGATGGGTAGGAATGGTGTCCCTAGCCTCTGTTTCTCTGGAAATGGATGACAGGAGAGGGATCACCTGATGTTTACCTGTTGTGTTCCCTCCCTCTGGGGCATCTGGTATTGGCCATTATCAGCAGACAGGATACTGAGGTGGATGAACCTTTGGTCTGACTCAAGATGGCTGTTTTTATTTAGATGCTTGGGAAAAGCACATGATGCACACATCTTTCAAAACTCTTGCCTCTTTCAAAAGACCTAGGCTGGAACTTTTTCCGCTGCATGGACAATCAGAGTTAGAGAGGTGGACGTGCCCATAGTGAGCCTGGGTGACCCAAGCTACCCCTTGCTTCTGTAGGGTTGCCAGATGGTTGAACCAAAAAAACCCATTATGGTTGCATGGGGTGGGTGGGAGGGCGGGAGAGTGGAAGGAGGAGTCAGCGCAGCCTCTGTCGGGGTGTGGTGACCTGGCCCCGATCCCAGTGTAGCCCCAGCAGGCTGGCTTCCCTCTGGCCCCCTCTCCTGCCACAGCAGAGGTTGGATAGGAGGGAGAATCAGGCAGAGAACATCCTGGTTTGGCCCTCATCCAACCACGGGTGCATGATCCAGCCACGGGTGCATGGCTGCAGCAGCCCAGTCCTGGCCAGGTAAGTTCACACAGCCCTAGAGCCGCCCCTCAGTCTCTTTCCCACACCAAGGCCCCTACCCCGACTCCTGCACCCCCCGCAACCCTAATCCCCTGCCCGGAGCCCCTCACACACTCTGCTGACTCCTACATCTCCCATCACCCCAACCCCTAACCTGACTGCCCACGGGTGCATGGCTGCAGCAGCCCAGTCCTGGCCAGGTAAGTTCACACAGCCCTAGAGCCGCCCCTCAGTCTCTTTCCCACACCAAGGCCCCTACCCCGACTCCTGCACCCCCCGCAACCCTAATCCCCTGCCCGGAGCCCCTCACACACTCTGCTGACTCCTACATCTCCCATCACCCCAACCCCTAACCTGACTGCTGCCACGCCCCCCCACCCCACAGCCCAACCTCCTGCCCTGAGTCCCCTGCGCTCCACCCCACAAGTTCTTACAGGTTCAGTTTTATTGCCTCCCTAGCTCTGATTCCCTCCCAAGGGGCGTTGTGATGGACAGAACTGGTAAGAAAAGGAAGTTCCTCTAGGATTGCCAGGTGTCCAGTTT